TAATATGATATATAGTTCATGGTAGCTTTAATGTGATATATAGTTCATGGTAGCTTTAATGTGATATATAGTTCATGGTATCTTTGATATGATATGTAATTCATGGTAGCTTTAATATGATATATAGTTCATGGTAGCTTTAATGTGATATAGTTCATGGTAGCTTTAATGTGATATGTAATTCATGGTAGCTTTAATATGATATATAGTTCATGGTAGTTTTAATCTGATATATAGTTCATGGTAGCTTTAATATGGTATAGTTCATGGTAGCTTTAATCTGATATATAATTCATGGTAGCTTTAATATGATATATAGTTCATGGTAGCTTTAATGTGATATATAGTTCATGGTAGCTTTAATGTGATATATAGTTCATGGTAGCTTTAATATGATATATAGTTCATGGTAGCTTTAATGTGATATATAGTTCATGGTAGCTTTAATGTGATATATAGTTCATGGTAGCTTTAATATGATATATAGTCCATGGTAGCTTTAATATAATTTATAGTCCATGGTAGCTTTAATGTGATATATAATTCATGGTACCTTTAACAGATATAGTTCATGGTAGCTTTAATCTGATATATAATTCATGGTAGCTTTAATATGATATATAGTTCATGGTAGCTTTGATATAATTTATAGTCCTTGGTAGCTTTAATGTGATATATTATAGCCCATGGTAGCTTTAATGTGATTTATAGTCCATGGTAGCTTTAATGTGATATATAGTTCATGGTAGCTTTAATATGATATATAGTTCATGGTAGCTTTAATATGATATAGTTCATGGTAGCTTTAATGTGATATATAGTTCATGGTAGCTTTAATCTGATATATAGTTCATGGTACCTTTAATCTGATGTGTAATTCATGGTAGCTTTAATATGATATACAGTTCATGGTAGCTTTAATGTGATATATAGTTCATGGTAGCTTTAATATGATATATAGTTCATGGTAGCTTTAATGTGATATATAGTTCATGGTAGT